GGTTTTGTAGGTTCCACTTCTAGATGGCAGTCCGCAACTTGGTCTTCCTTCGGATCTCTTATCAAAGCCGAAGGCTTTTGGGGCTGCCATTTTTTGGGCATGGTGTGCTGGGCGTCAAAAACCCTGTAATTGTCCAGTGTTTTTGGGGCTTGCCTGCTAAAAACCTGCGTTTCGCCTAGGTCTCTAGGGGGGAGGGGGGTCTCCCCCGGACGCGCAGGATCTGCATCCCCAGCATCATCAGGGTTACCTGCCTGCTATGAATTTGTCGCTTTTTTTTGCAGATACTACTGGTGTTTTGCTGTTTCAAGCGATGTTGGAATCGGCCTGTTAGGGGTCTGGGTGGGGCCAAGTGCAGTGATACGTTGAGGAACTGTTTGCATTTGCAAAAATGAGTGTTTCTTGCAATTCCCCACCTGTGGGTTGCTAGTATCTGCTTTTGACGGTTGATTTTGGGAAATATCAACAAATCCTGGATTTTTGGACTTTTTTGTGGCCAGCCGGCTGCATTCCCAGCATTCTCGACATCTCTGGTAACTTCTGTGTTGCGTCAATGTTTCGTGTCTGAAAGTCTTGAAATGTTGGTGTTGGATGCGAAGAGTGGGGCGTTGTGTGTTTTGCATCCCTTGCATTTCCAGCATCCCCAGCATCTGGGACATGTTTCCTGACTGCAAACTAGGAAAGTGCCAAGAAGGCCTTGTTGTGGCACTTTCAGACTTGAACGAAAAAGAAAAAAGGTCTCAAAATCCCTTGCACAATATCAGGAGAGCGCAGGCCAAGCCACTGCCAGCGTCATAGCCTCCGCCCACTTCCGACCTCTCGATGCAGCACTAGCAAAGCGATCCGTCGGGTTTGTGTGGGGTCCGTCTTGCCTCTGCGTGCAGCACAGCCCGGGTTGCTCATGCTACTTTCCAACTCGGGGTATGACTGGTGCTACGTTCTTGGAGACCGCCCACGACTTGTTTGCCCTTGCGGTAACAGTCTTTATGGTGTCAGTCAAGACCCAGTGCCGCGTCTTTTTTTTGCACACAAGGCTGATTTAACGGACAATCTGGGTGAACAAATGGGTGATCTTTTTGGGGCCCCAGGAAGCAGCAATGACTCGAACCACCTGTTTTCAGTTCCTGCAAGGCAAACTGAGCTGACGGACCACTCGCACCAGAAAGTGGCACAAACGAAGAGTGACCATCGGAGATGCCGCATCAATGGCTTACAGAAGTGCTGAGGTTCCCGGCGGATGCCAAGGTACGCGTGGCGAAAGCCCTGGAAATCCGCTGCGGATTCTGTCGAGTATTGGCAGGTAAGCGGGTATGCACATGCTCTATGTCTATCTAATGATACCCCGCCAAACCGGGGCTTTCTTTGTTTGATTCCACCAACGCCCATGTAGGTGGATCAGCAATTCTTGTTGCGATGCCACTGTTGAGTGCCTCATGGTGATGCGGAATGGACCCTCGATGCAGCTAGCCGCCGCATGCAAGATTACGCAACCAATGCCGACACACTACGAACTTCCGTCCAGAATGCCAAGCAAGCAACCTGGGCTCGCAAACAAAACGCACCCTTCACGGAACGGCAGCAAGGTCAACCGCTCCATGTCTAGTTTTGAAGGACGTTTAGGCAAAACTGAGGCAAAGCCTCAGGCCAACGTGAAGCCTTCCGAATGGGTTCTGAACGAATCTCTGGAGGTCTCTGGTGGTTACCTCACCTAACGGAATCTCAAACTTGGGAATGCGGACGGCTGAACTGTCCGGCTGCAACTTTTGTGCCCCTCCCAATGGTGTCAGGCAACCGACTATGGTCAAATTCAATTCTGCACACTATCGGGCATATGATCTCCCAAATGAACATCGTCCCAAGGCAGCAACATTTGAACATGCGTGAGTTGCTCTCTGTCACTTGTCCTTGTTCGGAATAAACGCACGATGTCTATATTTCCTTGCTGTACTTGGGTTGGACCAAAGGTATCCCCTCCGAAAGTACAGATTCCCCACTAACCCACCCCTCAATTAAAAAGACTGGGGTTGATTAATATCGGGTCAACATTACTCATTTCGTTGCCATTCCCGTGACAACGGCCCAGGCCGCAAGGGTACATCACTCTCAGTTTTGCGAAAACCAAACACTCCAACACGAATCCAGATGAAGTGGGTGAATGTTCCTGCTGTCCTGGAAAAACGGCGTAACCTTTTTGTAATCCGTTCAAAGTCTTACCACTTAGAAAAACGACCTAACTTTAATCTTTTTAAAACGGAATTGCACGGGTCGGCCTCAACGAAGGCGAACCACCGGCCTTGGTGTGCTTGAACTCGGCATATCCTTCCTTCCAATCCGGCGGGCTCGGCGGGTTGATGTCGCTCGTGGGAGATACCTGGCACCGGGATCTGTTTGTTGCGAACGTTTGGCGGTTGCACGAAGTCTCTTGCAGAAAACTCGTTAACGCCAGCCGAGTCCCGTTTCGGGAACTGCACAGGTTCTCGCGGCAGCACGAGTGGCTCAATCTAGTCCCTGCCAACCCCAAATAAAAGGTGACATGGAAATATGACACACCTAGGGACCTCTTTTTTTATGATGGTTTCGATTCGATTTGCACATGCCTGCAAGAAGTACTCGCATTGCACAATGAACGGCTCAGCCAAACATCCGCAACACTTAGGAAAATATCACGGTCGCGTCAAAAGGTATCGCCTTGCTTGGACAGTCAACAAATTGATGTCCATCCGATTTGCTTCGATCAGGAAAACACACACCCACACACCGTCGGCAAATTAACAACTTAGTAGGTATGCAAGCTTGAACGACAAATAAACAGGAACATAATCAAAAAGGACTGTCATGCCATACCTAACAATCGCGAAACTGTTTGGAAAGAAAAGACCTGCAAAACAAATGACGTTGAATCTTGAGAGTTGAACCCCCCTTATACTTGGTGGACATAACTTTGGTTTCTGTTGACTCCTCTGCAAAAAGTTCAACATGTTGTGTGTCCAATGGACAAGGTACACAAATTGAACCAAATAGCCAAAACGTGATTCCCAGCGTAATGTCTACCCGGCCGTGTCCCGGAATCGAACAAAAGTACCGACTGGCCCCGGAGAATCGGTCGGGGCACCTCCAGAGTGTAGGGCTCTGCTTGGACGTCCGGACTGTCCTTCCAGATGAGGTCCACACCTGGCATCTATCCCTTGCTTGGAATTTACTTCAAACCCATATAGCCCTTTTGGGAAGGAAATCTTCCTGATTTGTGTAACATCATCTGGATAGTCTCATCCGTAGTTGCTAGGAATCTTCATCCCTCGTGGGTGGAACACGCACCTTTTGGTAGGGATCTTCCTCATTTGCAATTCATTTCCAGGGTGGAACATGCACCCCCAAAGGCGTCCACACTTGCCGCTCACTCGCTGCGCCCGAAGAAAAACATATGGGTGGCTCGGCTTTGCTGGAGGTGGCACCCCTTTTTGGTGGTTTTAAAGGACAAACACAAGGGAAACCACCATTTTTGGGCAAGTACCCGTATACTTTTCTTACTGAGGATGTGCACATGGCAATCATGATTCAAGGCGCAACGCCTTAACAGGCATATAAATGGACACTCCCCATGCTTGCACGTGGCTGTGGCTCAGAAAAAAAAAGGTACCAAAATTGCACCTTGGCAAGTGGAGCCAAACTCTAAAACTTGCGTATCCCTAGCTCTTTCATTTTGAGCCACACCCATGTCGACAACTGTCCCTTTGACAGGGGCTCATGTGCAGACATGGTCAAAACGTGTGGTCATGGCTCGTTTAGGAAGCCTGATGCCTGTCAAAAACCAGGGCTGACCCCTACGCCCGTTGCGCCTCCGACGGGGATGCCAGTCCTCTGAGCGAAGCTGGCGACAAAGTCGGACAATGGCTCCAGGGGGAAGTTGAAGTCCTTCCAAACGTGTCAATTGTCCGGACAACATGAAAGAGTCATCCTTTGTTGGAGTGCTCAGGCCTTGCGTGCCCGTTCCTGACAGTAAGCATTCCGGCCAAACAGGTCGCTGAGCTCACCGAGCGGATGGAAAACATGTCCTCTCATTGTGTTGGCAGCGGTCAATGGATTACTATTTGGTGTCCTTGAATAGGGCGCCCAAGAAATGGTCGGGTTTCCGATTGGTTTCCCTTTGACGGGCCCGCATGTCGTGGTCAATCTAGTAGCTCAAATAAGCAGAGAAATCATGGAATCAAACAACCACGATACTGGCCAGGCCACCTAGGGCACTCTCAGTCTACCCAGAACCATGTCGAGAATTTGAAAGGCGGGATTCGGCCTCCAATTTTGGGGAAGGGGGACTATGCCCTTCCCTCAATTTTTGGGAAGGGGATGGTCCCTTGCCCTCCAACTACCTTCCATTTGCTTTAGCCCAACGAAAAACACATACTTCCAGTTTTGATAGTCTTCCTTTAGAACCAACAAGGGCACATCACAAAAAAATCCTCAAGCAACTGGAGCCGCCCGGGTCTTCACTTTGCGAGCCACGGGGATCACGGGTCCCCTGACCTGGAAGCCCCCGCGAGTGCTGGCGGCTGAGGCGCTCTTCAGGCTCTGGCCTCGACTCCAAGCGGGCGCTCTTCGCATCCGTTCGAAACGGCCCTCGGGTCCCCGAGTTTTGAAATGGATCAAATGGGTCAAATGGTCAAATGGGTCAAATGGTCAAATGGATCTTTCCCGAACTTTGGGTCAAATGGAAAGTGCCACTAAACACTAAAAGGCTAAGAAGCTAAGGGGATGGCTGGGAGCCAAGAACAAGTAGAGGGCCCTGGCAACTAGGGCAATACAACCCATCTAAACCACCGCCATGGTTTTTTCGCCAAACTAACCTGGACACCTCTGGCTCTTCGTTTCCGCTGCTAAAAGTGACGAATTCGCCTTGTTGGGTGTGGTAGGCAGGGAATGAGAAGCGGAATGAGCCCTACAAACCTTTCCTTTAAGGGTTCAGTTCCTTTCTCATTCCCTGCCTATCGCACCAGCAAGTCATGGTGTGGGAACTACCAACGAAAAAGCCAAACAAAACCGAGGGAAAGCGGATGGCTGTTAACCACCGAGTCCACAGAGTTTCCCTTTAGTTGATCAATTCACCGCTGGTGTCCATTGAAATGATCCTTACTTTTGGAGGTTGCAAAAAGGAAGAGGAAACCCTGACAAATTGGAAGGAACCCAGCAAACCCGAGGCATCTTGTTTGAGGAAGTGGGCCGGCAAAAAAAGAGTATCAGGTACCTTGCAAGGACGGAGCTGATTCAAGAAATCCGATTCATTTTATGGACACCTCCTGTAGCCAACGGTCGGGTGTCGAAACAAAATCCCCATATTCCGCGCAGTTCTCAAAGTATGTGCTGTCGTAAAATGTTTCCTTCGAATACCAACAAAAGCGAGGGCCAGCATTGTGAGAAACACTCATCAACATGGACAAGCATTTTGGAAGTACATAACAAAAAACTGTCCCTCTCCATGGAAGAAACTCAACAAAAACTCCCTCGCTCAATGTTCCTCAGGTTCACTTTGCGCGTATGCTAAATGTACCCCAACAAACCACAAACCCATTGGGATGTTCTCACCGATGATTGAAACCATTGGATTCGAATTGATTTTAAGCAGCATAAAGGCTCATTCCCTTTTGCCCACATTCCCATAACACATGGTCTCTTCAAAGGTCAGCTGCAACCAGCAGAGAAGCCCTCCCTGCTCATCCAATCGAGCAATCTATCGCTGCACAATCCGCATGGATCTCGTTTGACAATTCAATGTCGCCGGCGTTCCAGAAGAGTGTGTTTACTGTTCATGCCTTAAAAACAGCTTCTCATGTCTACCTCTATATAAATAGTGCAACCACCGACATAGTTTACACATAAAATTGACGCCGGATTCACAACCCCGTTGTGTTTTCCCTCCAAAAGTGATGACCCCCCACTGAAATTCATCAACTAGGCGGTTATTAATCTGAGGTCAACATTTAAAGGATTGCCAGCCGTCGCAACGCTTCAACCCGTTCGATTTCGACAGTCGGACATGTTCATGGTGTCCGGAGGCGTGGACAGGGCGGACACATTGGGGTGGGTTTCTCAACGTGGACGCTAAAAATGAGTGGTTTCCGTTCGCTTCCCTTTAAAAGCCAACAAAGAGAGTGTCCTCCATTTTGAGAAAGTTAATCAAAGTGGACCCTAGAAATGAGTGGTTTCCCGTAATCCTCCTTTGGCATCCCTGAAAGTTGACACAACTGGAGCTGACACAAATACATTCAATGGCCAAGTGGCGGATCCGCCAATAACCGTGGAAGGGCCGACCGTCCACATAAGTCACCCGGGCCTCGTCGAGAAACTCAGAAACGCACTGGTTTTCAGCGTGCAAATGGCCGCCTTGATCGTCAAGACCGAGCCCTCAAGCCAATCAAGGTCCAAACAAAGTGGGGATGGTTGCGAAAGCGGCGTTGTTTAGAACTGCAGGTTCTCTTTGCAGCCTGACACGTGGGGAGAGTATCTTAAAAGGCAATCAGATGTGAGGAAATTCCTATGCAGCAAATCCGCTCCGCAAACACTACCTGATTGCCCTCCAAAACAACAGCCCAGCCATTGTCAAAATGTGTCCCGTCCCTCTAAGTATTGTACTTGTGTTATCCTTCAAACCAGAACGCCAAAGAGTACATCCCCCCGCTGTCGCTCCACTTTCAGAATTCGACACTGGCTTTTTCAGGAGCACCTTCCAATGGACCGAATCGAATAGCACGGCTGGAATGCAAGGCAGGGACACAGATCGAGACCCACACCATCCTCAAAAACCGTCCAGCCGCGGTCTGGAAGAAACATCCAACTACGCAGTGTGAATGGGCCAAGGTGCAGGAAAGCCAAGAGCCTTCGCTCAGTGCTGAACAAGCGATGTGACCTGTGAACCAAATGAGTCCGGTTTCGATTAATATTTGGGGTCAACATGGTACCATTTCAGGGGGCGGAGGGTTGACCCGGAAAGCGCCAAAATCGCATTGTCCTCTTTTGGCAAATATCCCAGACGAGATTTCTATTAGAAGGGGAGCCTTTTTTGGTGGCACAAGCGACACTGCCAAAACCAAAAACCAAGCGAGAACAACACAAGGGCCGTTCGGGGTGCCACCGCACCGCACCTGGTTTGGGGTGTCCCCTTTAGTGGGGGGTCGGAAATCACTTTTTTGGGTTGGGTGCCACCCCCCAAAAGAGAATTGGACTTGGGGGGTTCGAACAAACTTCCACTGAAAACTTCCCTTCACCCCGAAAGAAAAAGTTGGACTTTGGTTTCTCAGCCAACTCTGTGGGTCGCATATCAAAACCTGCGGCTTTTCCAGGCCTCCTTGAGTGCCTTCACCTTGCGCTGCACCAGCACCTCCACCCCCACCTTCGCCTCGACAGGCCCATTGAAGGATCTTTGTTGAGCCTCGGCACCTCTTTATTCTATGTGCGGTTTCAATTAGAAACCAAAAGGAAAGCAGTCGCGCCATTTTGGGGGGTCCAAGCGAAAAAAGGCATGGCCTAAATCATTGGAGTGGGGTAGATTGAACGCCAAATTTAGAGGTCGTAATGGAAGAATCTGGAACTGGCGAAAGAATTCCCACGAGAAACCGGGACAAACCAATTTGCGACACATGTGGCTGCAACTTGCTCAGAAGTCCGCACAAAGCAAGCTAAATATCTGGACTCAGAGCCACAGCAAGAGGAGTCATGCAACCTGGTGACTGTTGGTGACCCATAGTGACTATACTAGAGGAAGCTAAGGAACTGTATCAGCCAGAACCTTCTCATGGCTCCCCTAGTCTCTGAATCCAACATACAAAAAACATGAACAAAGTGGGCATTTGTCAACTGTCAACGTGCTGGACCCACCCAACACGGTGTTGCTGCTGGCTTCCCCTTAAACCACAATGTTCAAAAGGGGAGGTTTTCCGAAGAAAAAAAAAGTGGTTCCCCCTAATCTCAAAACACGAGCCATGAAAAGGCGACTCTGCACTGGAACTGTCCTTGGCGAAGAAGGTATTGAAGGCTTCCATCAACTCCCCGATGGTCTCTGCTTGAAGCCTCAGCACCATTGGGGCTGAGCTATTGTTCCTTACCCCGAGATGGGCAAACACTTTACGGGTTTGCCCAACTCAAACGACCTCATCTCTTTGAGAGCAGCTGCTGCCTGTGCGTCTATGGCAACCATCCAACCTGCAAAGCATCGGCTTATGCGCCTGGGAGACGCGCCAAAGCAAAGTCGCGCATATCCAATTCCGGCCAAATCTGACGACCCGAATTCCTCAAGAAGGTCATCAGTTCATTCGCGCTTCGCCAAAGGGCCGTCAACCTAGACCTCGCACAAAGTACCAGTAGCAGAATCAACTTGGTTGCCCCGACTTGCTGACATGAATCCTGCGAAGCTCTTCAAAGCTATATTCTATGAAGAGCCAACGATTGCTTGTGGACATGTGGTATGCTCCTTGAGCCATGCAAGTGGCCGCCTCCGTAGCTACTCAGCAAGTCCTCACGCCATTCCTGGACTGCCAACTGCCACAACTAAACGTATTTGATAGGCTCGTCTCGTTTTATTTCTTGAAGCACACGTGAGCAAATCAGTGCCGTGGTCAAAAGCTGGTTGACTGTCTTCTCAGTTTGTTTTATTCTTTGTTTAAGACCATCCCTGTGGAATCCAGAACGAGTACTGGCTTGAGTCCAGCTCAACGCGGCGAAGAACTGATGAGAAGCAACTGAACCAATCTGATGTCTTTGCCGTAGGATGTTCGTGATCCTAAGACATCAGGAAATGGCATTGCCCAACTCATCCTACTTTGCCTCGGCTTCTCTCTGAGCGAGAGGCAAACCAATGCTGGAGTAGCCATACGGATCCTGAGTCGGAAACTCTTGGTGCCGACCACAGTTGCGCACGCGACATGGTCATGCCTGCCCAAACATCACTCTTTCAACCTTGCAGCATTTACAGGTGGTTTCCATTGCAACTGTCACTTCTGGAGGTTCCAAAAAGGGGAAATCCTGATAAAATGATGGCTGCCCATCCCTTGTGATTCAATTTTTCCAGAGCGGGCTTGTGCAGAATGCTCTCGTGAAGTCAAAAACGATGGTGATCCACCCTTCCAGCAATAAAATACCTGCAGCCTCTTTAAGGATAATAAAAAACACAGTCTCTTCCCTGCGCACTTTGCAACACCCCCGCCAAACAAAAGAAACAAATACAGGACAAAAACAAACCACGTCACCAGAAAAAGGATCAACAGTTCTATAATGATTCCGAACCCAACAGCGAGCTCGTTGACCGGTCCCACGAATTTAGCAGAAGGACAACCATAGGCTTGCATGGCAAGTCCTTCTACTCAGGAGCCTACCCTGCGTTTGGAAACATCTGAGGCACTCGAGCACCAACTCACACGGGCAATGGTTCAAAATTAAACCACCAGGATATGGACCACAGATTTTAGTCCATGTGTCCATTTACCAGGGCAAGCCATTTTGGGTACCGATTTTTGACCCACGGCCACATGGAGGAACTCATGTGTGTCTTGTTGGCTCCTTTGCGTTTCTCGCATCGCGGGGCCCCAGCCTTCAATACCACGGGCAGGCGGACTTGGTCCCTGTGCGCCATGGCGTCCGCCAGGCTGCTGAACACCTGGCTCCGAGAGCACCGCCTCTCTCAGACGATAAAATGGGTCGGCACAGGTGGCCTTTTGGCAAAATAGATGGCCCTGGTAAATGGGACAAAACCCATTTAAACCACTGCCATCTGTTTTTAGCCAAACTAACCTAAAAAGGACACCTATGATAGTCGGCCTCCCGCAATTTGGCGCCAAAAAGTGCCCATTGACCAACTATCTGACCGCAGAGCAGTGGACCCAACCAGCATGTCAGGTCATGGCCGACCTTCCGGATCAGAAGCAACATATTTGAACTGTCTCAATGTCTGAAATATTTCTAAGGCAGCAATCCGGGATAAGCTAGGCAAACAGTTCAGGACGCACAACCCTGTTGAGGCTTGTCATCACAACTGCTGTCATGGTCTGGCGGTGAAATAGGATCCAACTGGGTGTGGCTCGCTTTTTGAGGTTGGCTGAAGGGGCAACCGCAACTGTTTGGGTCCCCCCCATCTTGACACATACCCAAATCGAGCCGCATACCCCACACAACCACGAAACAAAACCGCAAACTCTAGAGATCCACTGGGCCACAACACAATTGGGACACTTTACAACAGGAGCTTTGAGACCCTAGGGAGTATTCCCTGTAAGCTCGACATATTACCAGGGAGCGTCAAATGCTTCACGCATTTAGCATATGGCTTTGTTTTGGATGTTCTTTTGGCATATCTTTTGCTCTGGTTGTCCTTGACCTCAAGACCAATGGCCATCACTGGAGAGCTGCCCAGGGTGCCACCGCCGGGCAGAGACCCTGAATTTCTTAGGAATGGTCAATGGTCATGGCCAACAATAGGAGTGTTGACCATGTGTATACATGTTGTGTCTGTATGTGGGGGAGTAAACATGGTACGTATATATATATATATATATATGTAGAGACCCGTATCAAAAAAGGACACGCTATTTGTTTATGTAGATTTTCAATACGCAATGCTGCTGGTAAGCCCACCTTAGGCATTCCGCTCAATACACCACATATAATTCCTGCTTGTTCCTACGCAACCCAGAGCCAAAAGCAATGTAGGTCTGTACGGCACGACATCCCCAAGCAGGCGCACCCAAGTCTCGGGCATCAAGACATTGGATTTCTGGAAGAGATGGGTCAGCGCGACCTGCGATGTTTGGGCCAAAAAGCGAAACACAATGGAACCCCTGCTCGCTACAACTGAGTATACGATATGCATGAGCTACATGGTTGAATGGAAAAGGGTGTTCGTATACCTCGTTCCGCCTTCTCCAACCCGGCACCTGTTTGGACCCATTGACCTCGTTTTCCAACACCGCATGTGTTTGTGATCTCAACCACCTATATGTCAGGGCCCTACCTCCTTTTGGGGGTGTTCTTCCCTTGTCTTGAAGCGAATTCAGTATGGTACCCAAGAAGGTGTGTTCGCCCGACTTGTACCTGCAGTCTTCTGAACATAAAGGCAGTCGCTCATATAAATTGAACATGTCCAATCGCTTCTTCCAGTCTTGCAAACAAACACATGATCTCAATGACTGACCCCAGTTGGTTCACTGCAACAGCAAATGCGAGCTGTTTTGTGCCGAGAGCCAGCACCAAAAAGCAGGAGCAATCGCACTGCCAAGAATCAGACTGCTCTCAAGGCGTCCGACACCAGTAAAGACAGCAATCCGTAATTGATCGTCTCAACTTCTTTGTGTTGCCGCGCCGCTCCATGTGCAGAAACAGTCAAACACAGGCCTCAATCCGACAAGGAAGTGGCATGTGCATATTGGGGTGGGGGCACTGTTTGGGATGGCAGGACACGGAACAAAACAAAACAGCAAATACAAACAGGTTTTCTTCTTTTTGGGGGGGGTCGGTAGAAACACCCAGATCTTGAGATAGCTGCTGGATCAGGCTATCGACTCTTCAAGCCTTCCCATTCTTACCCTATTTCCTCCAAGCCATATTCGCCGCGACAACACAAACATGTGGATGCCCGTGTGTCAGGATAATATCAGCTGCCAGCCAAGAAGGACTCCCCCCTCTCCCAGCTTGCCTTACAAGAAAACCAAGGCAACTGGGAGAGCAAAATCATTGCTCATAAACTGGGGGGGGGCAACCAGAAATGGCTCCTGCATTTGAAGCTCATCCTGAGGCAAGTAGCTGCAGACAGACACCCAGCAACAACGCAGGATGGGTCCTGCATGTCTTGCAGTCGGCCATTCTTCCCAAACATTTTGTGTTTTCTTCTGTGGTGATGGCCTCTCAAACGATTATCTAGCCTGATCGAAATCCTGGGGGCCTAATCGCAACACGCAATCCGCTTAATCCTTGTGTTGTTTGGTATTCTTCTTAATCCGTAAATCCGCGCTTCAAACTTTGGGTCAAAACCGTATGTTGGAGCACGGAAGATCCGTGCACCCCATAATCCGCAATCCGCAAGCCGCATAATCTGATCTGTAAACCGCACAATCCGTAATCCGCTAATTCATTGGGGACTAGGTATTGAACAAGCTAGATTATTATACTTGGACAGAGCGTGGCAATTGCGAACTCCACGCAAACCCTCAAGTTGCCGGCCTTGTTCTCGTAGTACTGATAGGTTGGAGGAGGTGGAAACAGCACTGCCCCGCTGTGTTCGAAACTACCGAAGTACTCCGCGAAGGCGTAGGGCATGCGCTTCTCGTAGACCTGCACAATGCATCAGGCGCCTGTGCCTCGCTTGACGTCGTGGGGAAATGTGAAGGCAAGAAGAACGAGGGTGAAAGGCAAAGAAGCAGGCTGAACAGCAAGGCAATGAACACCCAAAGCATGATCCTTCTCACTGTCATCACTGCCACCACAGCCATGACTGTCATGCATATTAGTCGTAGCAGTGGCAGCATCCGCCCCCTGACTTCGTCTTATGCACTTTGTGTATCAGAGGGTGTCGCTAGAGGGGTGGTGACCAGCACATGCTGCCGCGAGCTGGCTTGCCTGGGGCTTGGCCTCCTTGCTCGCTGAACTGTCGCGCGAATGCGTGGCTCATACATCCCAAATTTCCAACCCGATGGGTTGTAGCCGCCGAAACTAGCATCAACATCACAAGTGAAGACAAGCGGCAACGGCGGCAACAGGCATTGCGCAACGTCACTGAAGCACACCTCAACCCTAGCCCCAAGGTCCTGCACCCGGGCACTCCGCGGTCTCCAGACCCCCGAAACCAACCCTAAACAAACCCGAAATCAACACTAAATACACCTAAACCGCCAGCAAACCAACAAAAAAACAGCAATTTTCAGTGAACCGGTGTTAAAGCAATGCTAAAACGAGACCAACACCAGGACCCAAGCACCCAAACACCGAGCGGATCTGCCGCCAATGGATCGCTTGACAAGCTCTTCAGCCCAAGAAACGCGGAGACTCCGGCCTCGTTTGGCTTCAGCTCAAGATGAAATTCGTCGTGGTGGCTGGTGCGCCACAAATAGCTCACCCCAGGCTTCGTCTCCTCTGGCCTTGCGAAGGGCAGTGGGGAGTGCCCATGGGTGGTTCCTCAGCAAAGGCTGGTCAGCCTTTTTTTTGCCGGTAACAACCAGCATAAACAAACCAGCCAGTTTCAGGCTCAGAAGTCGCATTGTTGAAACATCCAAACCAAAGCACCGGCCTTTTGGGCCTCTTGCGAGAGACGTGCGGTGGACTCAAATCAGAGCCGCTTCAGTGCGCAAATCACCAAAGAGGGGGCGAATAATTTGCTATAACATAAGTAGCCAACTACACATGGTATATCAAAGGTTGGTTGGGTTCTCCAAGCAACCAACCACACATGGTATATCAAAGGTTGGATGGGTTATCTTTTGAACTTTTGCATTGAGGGCATCGGTACCAAAACATATCTTGGGACAACAGGGCTTCCGAATGACTTGGTGCAGCATGTTGTCTGGGCCTTGGGTCCCAGATATCCAACATTTCCAGCCAAGACCTGCGTAATCTCCCCGAGTGAAAAAGAATACGGGCCCCCGAATGTTGGGGAGTTCAACGGTTCAGTATTGGTTTAGCAATGGCATAATTCTAGTTTGGTATTGGGGGTCCGGGATTCTAAAATTATATTCATGAATAGGGGCATCTAGGAACAAGGGGGGGTGGACTATTGGACGCGTTTGAAGGTGGATTAATCAATACAACTCCGGTAAACAATTGCCATCGCAAACCAGCCAGAACTGCCCGTCAATGATGCATTCGTTCAGCTTGCTGGGTCACAAGCAGCAACCTAGCTCGGGGGTCTGTTGAGACCAAAAGGACAGTCAACGCCCCCGCTACAAAGTGGGCAGCGAAACGCCCCCAAACCCTCCATGTTGGAAGGATGCACCCAGTGAGGACAGGCTTCCTGAATCCACGGTCCTTGTGAAGTGGACAATTGCCGTATGGTCATCTTTTTCTGGACAAGAACCCGTATTTGGCATCTTTTTCCGACATGGTGTCTTTTCACAGACCGCATTTTTCCCCGATCGATTTTTTCAACATATTGACAAACAGCCATGGATGACTCTGGCTATTCTTTGTGAGTCAGCCCCGTGTCACGACACACACACACACACACACGGCATGGATGTCCAGGAACTAGATTGCCAGGCATCTCACCTCGCCTCAAAGCGAAAAACAGGTTGCTGAAAACTCAGCGGTGGGTGTCCCCCGGTTCCGATCTTGGCCCCGGATTCCAAAAAAAACACCAAACACAGCGGAACCCCTGCACGAACAAACTTTGGAACATGTTGACTTCGGGAGGCACTGGTTCCGTGGATCGCGGGTGGGCCAACCGCAGTGCTCAATTGTCCAGTAGCTTCCAGGCGTTCATGCCGTTTATTTCTCAAGGGATTCAAAAAGGCGTCTAATTATCATGTTTATTTCACCCGAAACAGATTTTCACCGGACCCCAAAAGAAGACAAGCATACTCAAAACGGATTTTCACTGGACACCAACAGGAGAGAAGCATTTCTGGGGGTCTCCAAATCCCAGGACCGCCGATCGACATCCGACTTTCGGCGGCGCCTGTCCGCGAGGTGGGGCTGGGCGCCGACCCGGGGGAAGGCCTCGAAGAAGAGCTCGCGGTGCAACTCCTTTCGGCGCCGCCTCGAGTCAGAGGGAGCTGGGGGGGTGGGTGCCGAGGTGGGAGGGGGGCGGGAGGGCGGGGGGGGAACAAATAGGAGGAAGGAACCGAGAAGAACATAGCGAGGAAACACAAAGGAAATCATACGGAACGTTAGATTCTCGATGGGTAAACATTCACGACCTCAGCAACTGCACGAAGAGTTGGCAGCCACAGCCATCTCATCGTGCTGTGAAAATTTGGTTGTCTCGCAACTAGTGAGAAGCTAACGACAATCCAGGTTGCGCAGATTGCCTACATGCTG